GACATACTTTGGACATGTTGTAAGGAGGGACAGGTCCTTGGAGAGGGACATCATGCTTGGGAGGGTGGAGGGACAGTGCAGGAGGGGAAGTCCCTCTATGAGGTGGATTGATTCAGTGACTGGGGTAATCGGGATGGGTGTGTCAGAGGCAGTGCGCTTGGCACAGGATAGAGCAGGGCTTAGGGCTGTTGTACATAGGGTCGCTATGAGTCGCAAACGACTCGACGGCACATAGCAACAACAAATGGAGTCAATGTGTTATGTATTTTCTAGCCAGATTTTCTAAAACAGTGTTGTGAGCCTAGTAAACATGTAGGGAAAGTGAATACCAGAAAGGGGAAGGGACTCACACACTGAGGGAAAGACAGAACTGCACTTGAACCCAGATTGTCTGACAGTAGCACCAAAGAACCCAATAACATACCCCATAAAAAAGATGTTGAGGCGAGAGATTTATCTGAAGGACTGAAAATATGAAGAGAAGGGATAGTCTCTGGATTTTCTTGGAAGAATTCAATATACATTTATTCTGAAGGGAGATTATAGGTTATATAACTCTTCTCCAACAAAAGAAATTCTTACTCGATGGTATCAAATATCCAGAAAGCTAAAACCCCTACTGTTCAGACTTCTGCTAAACTAATCTTTCAAAACCTATTTAGGTAAGATCTGGGACCCTGATCACAGGTCCCTGACTTAGCACCATGGAGCTAGGAGGAGTTTTCACTATCTTTCTGGTGCTCTGCTTGTCTTGCCTGGTTATCCTTATTGCCTGGAAACGAACCAGCAAAGGAGGGAAGCTTCCCCCAGGTCCCACACCACTGCCTTTCCTGGGCAACCTGCTTCAGGTCCGTACTGATGCTACCTTCCAGTCTTTCATGAAGGTGAGTCTGTTTACTTCCTCTTAGAGATGGGAGTATTTGATCCTAGAGCCAGTTATGTTTGGAAGCTTATAACGTTAGGAAACACAAATCCTTGGAAACAAAGATTATGTGAATCTTGGGATTCTAGAATCTTAAAGTCTTGGTAGCACATACTAGTATACTAGAACTATCCAGTGTGAAAACCAATGTATACGAACTTTATGAACTTTGTATGTAAACTAGTATAAATTTTTAAAAAATTAAAATCTAAGAACTTGGGAATCACAGTACCTTAAATTCTGAAATATGATGATTCTCTGAGATTACCTTAACATTTGAGACTCAGTATCATGAAGTCTCATGATGTCAGTAATTTAGCATTTCAGAAATAAAAACACAGATCTCTTCGGATCTCTTCAGATCCAAATGACCATTTTGTAGATGAAGAAATTAAAGCTTGGTGTGACAGGATCACAGGATCCCAAGCTTCTGTACTTTTTTTCTCTCCATAGTTGTTCCCAAACCAAGCCTTTATTCTTTCTGCCCTCATCAGTGTTCCCCTGAAATCACAACCCTTAAAATCCTTGATATGACCAATACTTGGTGTACCAACCAGCATCATCTTCCTTTGTCTACTCCATCCCTAGCTCAAGGAGAAATATGGAAATGTGTTCACTGTATACATGGGACCCAGGCCAGTAGTTATTTTATGTGGACATGAAGCAGTGAAAGAGGCTCTGATAGACCAAGCAGAAGATTTCAGTGGCCGTGGAGAATTGGCATCCATAGATCGAAACTTCCAAGGTTTTGGTAGGTAACAGCAACAATATAGCAACAGATATGTTTAAAATGTACTTTCTATGCCCTGAGGATCTTTAATGAGAACTCTACATGCCTTATTGCATTGACCTTTTTAAAGGATTATGAATACTGTGCTAACTTTTCAAATAAAGAATATGAAGGTAATGCCCCACAGGGGGATTTGACCTGAATTTTACCTCAATTTGCTGATTCCAGGGTGCCTACTATGTTATTTGTCCTAACTTTTTATGGAGTATGCATTTTTCTATAGATTCATTAACCCAAAAGTCCATTCATTCATTATTCTTTCTATCCATTACTTTCATTTTATTCATTCACCTACTCATCATTTCATCTATTAATTCATTTGTTAATCTTCCCAATCATTTATCCATTCATTTCTCAAATCGTGCATCCATTAATCTCCACCCATCAATTAGTTCTTCCATCCATCAGTCCAAATATTTTCCTTTCATGCAACATCTATTTACCCTTTTATTAATCATCCAAATATTTGTACATATCTAGAAATTTTCAAATGCATCTTTCTATTTTCTAATTGAGGGGGAGGGAGAAGGCTTTGAATAGAGGGAGAGATTTGGGTGATTATGAGGAGAAAAGAATGGGGAGAAGCATGGGAAAGAATTAGATTAGGAATCTCTAAATGTTTCTGTCTGAATGATATGCTGATAACCCAGTGTGCATTTGTGTATAGATGCAGGTGCATGAGAATATAAAATGTGTATTAAAAATCTCTTTTTATATACATCCTCATTTCTGATTCTTTTCCACTGGACATTCTGCCTATCTGTCTCTCAACCTTCCTAGGCATTCATCCAATTCTTTTCCCAGCTCTCTGTCCAATGAAAAGCACTCTCTGATATCCACAAATTCTTTCTATTCTGACTTCTCTTTTCTCTCACACCAGCCCTAGGTTCTCTCTGAGGGTCATATAGAGAGGGAAACTTAGTCTCCCCATCCAGGCTGGGAAGTTAAAAGGTGGTTTCTGGATAGGAAAAAATTCTCAATTTTCATAATATGGCCCATTCCAACCCAGCATAAAGTTGGAGACATAAACAGAGGAAAGACAATGCCTTAGTGTTGAGATATTTGCAGGTGTAGCTCTGGCCAATGGTGAACGATGGAAGATTCTTCGCCGTTTCTCCTTGACCATCCTCCGGGACTTTGGAATGGGAAAGCGAAGCATTGAGGAGCGGATCCAAGAGGAGGCTTCCTACCTGTTGGAGGCCTTACGGAAGACGAACGGTACAGGGACTACAGAGGGGAGGGTAACAAGGGTGGTTGCAAAATGCTCAATCTAGATAAAATAGGCCTTGGTGGGAGGATACTCTATAATGGGAGTGATTTTAAAAGATTGGCTTGGAATTTTTAAACTTTTACTAGTCAGGTTGAATATTGGAAGCTAACCCGCAAGTTGTTTCTAATCTTCTGATCCAGACAACCTCAATTTCAGTGGATCTTTGGGGCCCCTGAAATTGCACACACACTTTGAAGACATGTGGATCTGTGTTTGTTGGGGTTTTGGGTTTTTTTTTTTATAATTTATCACTAAATTTCATTATATCGTTAAAGGAATCAAATTTTCATGGCACAATAGAGCCAGAAACAACTGAGATTGAAAAAGAAAAGACACAGAAGCTGAGAAATACAAAGATAAATAGAAAGAGACAGAGAGAAATTATTTTCTAAGTCAGAGATTTCTTACCTGGGCTTCATGGATGTTTAGCAGGATCTTTATAAAGGGTATCAATGTCCATTTAAACCTACAAATCATAGAATTTTTTTTTTCTTGTGGAAAAAGACTCAAAATCCACAGAAATGATACCAGCATCCTATTACTGAGATGGAGCAGCTGAGGCCTGTGAAAAGATATTCTTAATAACCCAAATGGAATCAGTGCAGCTAGACCTAGAATCCAGCCATTCTGTTTTGTGTATATGTCTTACTGGCAAAAAGAAGAAGTTCGTGATTCCATATCTTAAATATGTACAGATGTTTTTTAAAGAGAAAAATAAAATCTTATCACGTCCTTCTAGTATTTGTTTTGCCCTTAACACATGCCAGGCAATGTGCTAGCCACTTTTCTTGCATTAATGTGCTGGATTTATACAGATCAATGAGGTAGTTACTAAACCACTTGGAAAAGTGAGAAATCTATACTCAAACACAAAATTGAAGTGATTCACACCTGCTGTGAAGTCCTTAAACCAGGACTCCAGGCAGGACTGAGTGACTCCACAGTCCGCGTATCCAATAGTTTCCTACAAATTGGACAATTCTCCTCAACAGGGGTTCCCATTGATCTCACCTTTGTCCTCAGCCGTACTGTCTCCAATGTCATAAGTTCTGTTGTTTTTGGAAGCCGATTCGATTACGAGGATGAGCAGTTCCTGAAGCTTCTGAGGCTGATCAATGAGAGTTTCATAGAGATGAGCACGTCCTGGGCACAGGTACCCACCAGCCAGTCATCTCTTTTGCCCACCCTTAGTTTCAATTACCTAAGTACCTGCCTGTAGTTGACTTGTTCTTGTGTAACATCATGTGGACCAATTCATAGCTGATCCTTCAGGGGGGTTTTGGAGGCATCGAATGGAAGAAGAATGCCTCCCATTGAGAGGGATGGTAGATTTGGATGGCATGCCTTTGGGGTTGCAGCGTAGCTTCTTATCACTAGATCACCAGAGCTCCCTGCAGTTGACTTTATCCTCTACATGACCCTGAGAGGCAAGTATCAGCATCCCCGAGTCTACATAGGGACACACCCAAGTCTTAGATGCACCACTAGAATTTGAAGTGTAAACTATGATTCAGACTCAGCTCAGGCCGATCCCATCAGCGACAAATCTCTGCTCTATTCTTCACAGTTATATGACATGTATTCTGGAGTCATGCAATATTTTCCAGGAAGACACAATCGAATCTACTATCTGATAGAGGAACTCAAGGACTTCATTGCCTCTAGGGTCAAGATTAATGAAGCATCTCTTGACCCTCAAAATCCTCGGGACTTCATTGACTGCTTCCTCATCAAGATGCACCAGGTGCCGCCTCCTTTCTCACTCCCTTTCTCTCATCTCCTCAGTCCCTGAGACTTGTCACAATAAAACCATATGTAGAATAGCTAAGAACATAAGAGTAAGCATTGTTTCACATACGGTTCTATTAACTTATATTCCCATTACTAACATTTTGTTTCCATCTAGAAAAAAGGATAGTATCAATTTACAGCTTCGGAATCACAGAATCTTAAAGCTGCATAATCTTGGACGATCAAAACGTCATTGTTGTTAGGTGCCATTAAGCCATTAAGTCACAGCTCCTAGTGACCCTGTGGACAGCAGATCTGTCCTACACCACCTTCACCATCTCTTCTGGCTCCAGCCCATTGTTACAGACACCGTGTCAACCTGTTCTATTGAGGGTCTTCTTTTCTGCTGATTCTCTCCCTTTCCCAGCATAATCTCTTTGTCCAAGGACTGAGCTCTCTGATCACATGCCCAAAGAATGAGACAAAGGCTCACCTCCTTGCTCCCTTACAACTTTCTGATGATAAATGCCAAGGGCATATGCCTTTAGAAAAGAAGAATGGTGCTCACTTCGGCAGCACATATACTAAAATTGGAACGATACAGAGAAGATTAGCATGGCCCCTGCACAAGGATGACATGCAAATTCATGAAGCATTCCATATTTTTGTAAATGTTCATTGAAATAAATAATAATAATAGTAGTAATAATAAATGAATAATGATAATTCTAAAGTCTCCGTATTTGAGATATTTAGATGTTAAACTTCTTAGGGATTTAGAAATTCAACCTTTAGGATTCCCAGAATCTTAGAAGTTAAGAAATGTATATTTCAAGTCATAGAACCCTTCAGCACTCCAAAGTTCAGAATTATACACGATCATGTCATACAATTCCAAAACTCAAAAGATACTCTATTTTCTTGTCCTCTCATTCTGCCACTATTCAATTCACTCCAACCATACTGGCCTCTTGTTGCTGCTCCTCTAATATATCAGGCACATGGATGAATCTAGAGAACATAATGTTGAATTACAAAAGGAAAAAATACTATTATATGACTGCTATTACAAAAAGCCATAGAAATGTTTACATAAGGAAAGAATCATTCTTGTATAGTTACCAAGGAGAAGGGGCAAAGTATAAATTAATTAATAAATAATAACTTATTAAGATGGGTGAAGGGAAAGAGAACACAGAATATGTCAAATATTATCTGTATTGTAACTGATATCAGGAAATAAAATGTGCAGAAATGATTGATGTTAAAAGAGAATACATTTTGTTAACTTTCACTTAAACCACAATTTAAAAAATATAACAAATACACTTCTTTCCAAACCTTTGCTCTTGCTGTTTCCTTTGAAACATTCCATTCCCAGACACCCTCTTCATTTATCCAAGTATTTCTTGTCACATATGACTTCTCTAAACACAGGGAGGATATAAGATTAAAAAAAATTATTATGTTACTGTCCTATTTATCATTTATCTTTAGGATAAAAACAAACCTGACACTGAATTCAACCTCAGGAATCTGGTGCTCACCACTCTCAACCTCTTCTTTGCTGGCACGGAGACTGTGAGCTCCACCCTCCGCTACGGAATCCTGTTGCTCATGAAGTATCCTGAGGTAGAAGGTAAGAGTTGCCCCTAGTACCTGACTTCCATGAGGAAGGAAGACACATCCTTAAAACCTGGGAATACTTACGAAACAGGCTTAAGTATGCCCTGACAGGAGATGAGGTTAAAAAAATCTGCATGCAGCGGTTCATTAAGATTGATGGCAAGGTCCGAACTGATATAACCTACCCTGCTGGTTTTATGGATGTGATCAGCATTGACAAGACTGGAGAGAATTTTCGTCTGATCTATGACACCAAGGGTCAATTTGCTGTTCATCGCATTACACCTGAGGAAGCAAAGTACAAGTTATGCAAAGTAAGAAAGATCTTTGTGGGCACAAAAGGAATCCCTCATCTGGTGACCCATGATGCTCGAACCATCCGCTACCCTGATCCTCTCATCAAGGTGAATGACACCATTCAGATTGATTTGGAGACTGGAAA